CGGCCCAGCTGCTGTGGGGCTCGGCGGCTGCAGTGCTGGTCCTGGGGCTCCTGGTCTTCGCAGCTGGCACCTCGTGCTGGTGGAGGGCCCCTGTCCGCCATGGTGAGCACCAGGGCCCATATCTGAGGGGGAGGGGGGTTGGCAGTCCCTGGGGCTGGGGGAAGCTGGACTAGAGTCTGTGCCCCCTGGGGAAGATGGGAGCAGTACTGTGGGGTCCAGGGCGAGGGAAGCTGGGGGGCTGTGGGGGCTGGACCCTGACTAACCTCCTGCCTCCCCTCCTGCAGGCTACACCCCTCTGGCTGGAGACAACTACCCCCGAGGTGAGTGCAACTGTCCAACCATCCATCCATCTGTCCGTCTGTGTCCCCCTCCCCACTTTTACCCCCTCCATGGCTCATCCTCCTTCCATTTCTCCATCCTTCCCTATCCACTCACCTCTCTCTCCATCCATCCCCATGCACTTATCCTTCCTTCCTGCCATCCCTCCTTCCATCCTTCCCCATGCACTTACCCCTCCATTCCTTCTCCTCCTGTCCATCCATCCATCTATCCATCCATCCATCCATCCCTTTCCAAGTACACATCCATCCCTCTCTCCCTGTACAGACACCCCTCCATCCTTCCCTATGCGCTCATCCTTCCATCCATCAATTCTTCCCCATGTCCACAGCCTTTCATCCAGCCATTCATCCCTCCTTCTGCCTCTCTCCCCCATATTCATCTCTCCATCCATCCATTCATCACTCCTTTCCTATGCACACACCTTTCCAGCACAGCATCCCTCTGTCCATTGACCTGTGTCCATACTTCAGCCCCAGCCCTCCCTCCCTCCGTCCCTCCATCCCTCCATCCCTCCATCCATCCATCCATCCTGTGTCCAGTTCTAGGCACCACAATTCAAAAATATGTGGAGAATCTTAAAACGGTCCAGAGAATGGCCACAAAAATAGTTAAGGCCCTGTAGGACAAACCTTATGAAGAAAAATTAAGGGATCTGGGACTATTCAGCTTGGGGAAGAGGAGACTGAGGCGGGGCTTGATGGCCATCTATATGTATGTAGTGGGTGAATATCAGGAGCTGGGCAAATAAACTGTTTGCTAGGGCACCCCAGGGGAGGACAAGGAGCAATGGCCATAAGCTGTTAAAGGATGGTTTCAGGTTGGATGTAAGGAAAAACTTCTTTACGGTAAGGGTGACCAGGATGTGGAATAGACTTCCCAAGGAGGTGGTGCAGTCCCTACCCTTGGAAGCCTTCAAGAGGAGACTAGACAGACACCTTGCAGGGATCATTTGATCTCAGCAGTATTCCTGCCCAGACCCGGGGGGGGGTTGGACTCGATGGTCTCGGATGGTTGGACTTTGAGGTCCCTTCCAGCCCTTCATGTCTATGATTCTTTCTATGATCCATCCATCCATCCATCCCCCATCACAGACTCCTTCCTCTTGGTCTCTCATCCCCTTCTCACTCTCATTTCCCCTCTAGGCAACATCTAACACCGGGTTGCCAGGCCCCAGGGCTCCCGTGGACTCTTCCCTCAGCTGCAGACCCTGGTGCTGCCCCTGTGCTTGGTGCTTGATCCTGGCAGTACTACGTGACCCGAGCCCAGGACAGCGGTGCTAAAAGACACCCACCCCCGCGGATGCCCCCATCCCATATGGATGGGCATTCCCTGCACGGAGGTCTTGGGGGCCTCTATATGACCAGAGGGAGCCTGAATAGAGTCCCCCATCCCGTATCCCCAGGCCATAGACATACTGGGCCTATATAGGGATGGAGTGACCCAATTCTTGACCTGCCTTGGAGTCCACCAGCTTGTCCAGGCCCCGCAGCCTCCATAGATAGCTGGGTCTGTGTGGGATATAGAGATTGAATGCTGTCTCCACCTCAAGGCCGGCTGGCCTGTATGGACAAAGAGCTTCGAACTGTGATCCACCCCAGTCCACAGTCCCTCGAGCTTTGGGCAGCCACTGGTATGTATATCACCCTGGCCAATGGAGGAGGCTGGACATGGACCCGCTTAGCCGCGCCCCATCCCTGACTCAGACCTGACCTGCCAGTACAGACCCGCAGTCCCATATAGCAATATAGGCACTCAAATAGAGCCCCTGCCTCCCAACCCCCCCGCCCCTCTGCTGCATACCCCCAGGCTGACAGAAGCCCATAAGGGCCAAAAGGACCCTAGAGCACGCCCCAGAAATCGGGGGGTGGGAAGGGTGTGGGCCGCGGGCAGTGTGCATGTATTTCAATGTGCTGCACGTGTGGCAGGGGGGACAGCAAGATCTCGGCCCCTGCCAGCTGCATGTCAATAAAAGGTGGCTTATTCCCCAGGCTCCACGTCTCTCTGTCTGTGTGCTACACACCAGGGGAGGTGGAAACTGGGCTCTGCACTTCCAGCCTTGGCATTTCAAGGCCCCGTGCTCTCGCCCCATTGCCCCCAGAGCTTGGAAGGGACCCTGGCACCCTGGCTCTCGGTCCCCCGCCCCCCTCCTCTCCCCGACCTCGAGAAAACCCAGGTGCCCGGGCTCCCAGCCTGAACCCAGCAGCTGTGGGTACGCCGGGTCCAGCAGAAGCAGTGGCAGGGCAGGGATTTCCAAGCCCTGAGTCACCGATGTCAGTGGGAAGGCGTGGGGGGGAAGTGAAACCCAGGCCTAGTGGGCTCAGGATGCAGAGGGACAGACATACAGACGGGGCTGGTAGCTCCGGAGCGCTCCTCCAGGCAGGCGGGTGAGAACAGCTCTGCCGGGTTGATGGGTGGCAGCCGTGGGACATCTGCTGGCCACAGAGAGAAACTCCAGCAGCCACAAGGGATGGGACCCAGGAGTCCTGGCTCCTACCCACTTCACTCCGCTCCTCTTCCTGAGCTGCAGAGAGAGCCCGGGTGTCCTGGCCCCCAGCTCCAAGCCCCGCAAACCCAGTCCCCAGCCAGGGGAGAGCAGGACTCAGATGCCCTGACCCCCAAAGCTGCAGGTCCCAAGCACGGAGGACAGGCACCCCCACACAGCCACGAACTAGGCACGGTTGGACTGAAGCCCCCTTGCCCCAGCTTCTCCAGCCTGGGAGAACCAGGGGTGCAGATTTAGCTGCATAAAATCAGGTGAACAGCTGGAAATGCTCCAGTCTGGAGCTGGCTGTGATCTTCTCAGCTCCCAGGCTTCGGAGGCAGAGTCCATCCCATCTCCTCCTGCAAGCCCAGGGCTGTGGTAGAGCATACAGCCCCATCCAGCCCTGTGCCCCTGTGATACCTGCTAGAGACCAGGGCATGGGCATCCTGCCTACCTCAAGGTCAAGGTCCAGGAAGCCATGCATGGAGAGGAGTCAAGGTCAGGAAGTGAGAAGCCAGAGCCTGAGAGCAGGTCGAGCATGGGCCCTGCAGCAAGAGCTAAAGGCAGGAGCAGGGATCCACCAGAGCCCTTTGCAGAGGGCTGGGCTCCTGCCCTGAGCCCACGGGGCACTCAGACCCAGCTGGATGTGGTCAGTTCCTGCCTGAGGGTTATTGGGCTGTTTGAAAGGCCTGAACCCCAATGCCAACCCCCATCCCCCAACCCACAGGCCCATCTGACCCCATAGCTCCCTGAGCTTGTGTCCCCTCAAGGTCACGGGCCCCTACAGCCCTTTCCAGGGAAGTCCCCAGTGGCTTCTGTCCCCCTTCTCCAGCTCTCCTTCCTTCTGCCCTGCTGTTGTCTGTTGGCTGCGCTGAGTCACATTGCTCCCATTTCCCAGCCCTACAGTCTGGTTTTTAACCCCAACTGACCCATGAACTCAAGAGTGGATGTTCAATAAGGACAAGTTCAATAGACTCAATAAGGACAAGTGCAAAGTTCTGCACTTGGGACAGATGAATCCCATGTACTGCTACATGTACTGCTACTGACCGGCTACGCAGCAACTACAGAACAGGCCTGGGGGTTACAGTGGACAATAAGATGAATATAAGCCAGCAGTGTGCCCTTGTTGCAAGAAAGCTAATGACATCCTGGGCTGCATCGGTAGGAGTGTTGCCAGCAGATTGAGGGCAGTGATTCTTCCCCTCTACTCAGCACTGGTGAGGCCACATCTGGAGTCCTGTGTCCAGTTTTGCACCCCCCTCTACAGGAGGATGTGGACACATTGGAGACAGTCCAGTGGAGAGTAACAAAAATGGTCCAGGGGTTGGAGTACATGACGTGTGAGGAGAGGCTGAGGGAACTGTGCTTTCTTAGTCTGGAGAAGGGAAGACTGAGGGGGGTTTAATACCAGCCTTCAACTCCCAGAAGTGTGGTTCCAAAGAGGATGGCGCTGGACTGTTCTCGGTGGTGGCAGACAAGAGAACAAGGAGCAATGGGCTCAAATTGCAGCACGGGAAATTGAGGCTGGATATTAGGAAAAGTTTTCACACTAGGAGGGTAGTAAAACACTGGAACAGGCTACCCAGAGAGGGTGAGGAATCTCCATCCTTAGAATATTTTAAGACTCGGGTAGACAAAGCCTTCTCTGGGATGATCTAATTAGGGTTGGTCTCTCTTTGAGCAGGGGGTTGGACTAGCTGTGAGGTCCCTTCCAACCCTCATTTTCTATGAGTCTATGATTGTGTGATGCATTAACTCAGCTGAACATGAGCTCTGGCACAGAATCACTCACAATGAAGCACTGAGGCACTGTCCGATGCTCAAGAAAGCATTATTTTGTTTTATGAACATGAAGAAGAGACATGTATCAAACTCAAAGGACAAAGGACACAACAGCTTTGGAGTATGTTTGCCGCATTGGTTGTGTTTTTATATAGAATACCTGATAAAGCAAATGAACTCACCTGCCAATAAAGCTTTTTTTTTTTTTTTTTGGCTTCAGTCTGAAATTGAATACTGCAGCTCTAGGCCGCTTATTAGCAAAGCTGCTAGTTTCTTTTTCACTGGAGAAAACTAGGTGTTGTGTTATATGGGGTGAGGCACCGTACCATCAGCACCTCCCTGTGCAGAGTCCTAGATCCACCTCTGGTTCAGCATCACAGCCCCACATAGCCCCACAACCCATGCATACAGCAGCACAGACCATCTCAGTCCTCATGGCTCCTCTTCTGGGCGTTGCCGCTAGCATTGGAGCTGCTGGCTATGGAGCATAGGGAAAAAGAAGGTG